TCGACGTCGCCTGACTACTCCCCCCTTAAAATAAGACCTAGTTTGGTGGTAGCATGTGAGGGAGAGATGGTATCAGCCTGCAGGAACATACTGTATTATGGGGATGACAGGGGACTTCCTCTGGCCAGTGCAGTGACAGGGAGCACTCCAGTACCCTACTTCACCAACTGCTGTCCCCCTGAAGGCACTGCTTAATGTAATGGTACTGTAATGTGTGCCAGTAAATGGTACCGTACTTTACAGCACTGTCCACTGTCCCCACTGTTGAACCGCTGGTACCAGTCCCTGATGGCAAAGGAAGACGCGCTGTAGAAAGCAAGGCTTCAGCGGCATCTCAGCCATGGAAACCCATTCCATGAAGCTCTCTACACACTGTTGTTGTGCCAATCTGAAGGCCACATGAAGTTTGGAGGTCTGTAGCTACTGACTCTGCACACAGATGGCGACTTCTGTGCTTTACCATGGGCTGACCCAGCTCTGTCATTTTACATGGCTGAGTTGCTGTTCCCAGTTGCTTCCACTTTGTTATACCACTAGCAGTTGACTGTGGAATATTCAGTAGCAAGGAAATGTCACAGATGGACTTATTGCACAGGTGGCAACCTATCACACGCTTGAGCTCCTGAGAGCGACCCATTCTTTCACAAATATTTGTAGAAGCATCTGCATGCCTAGGTGCTTGATTTTGAGTGAGACAGACACACTTTTTCATAGAAAATAGGTAGTACTGTCATTGAAGATCCCTCAGATCCAATAACAATATTGTACAGTCCCTTCTTCCTTATGAATCACTTCCTAGGTGGCTCTCCGACTTAATCACCATGGGTGTCTATGAACCCAGCCCTCCTCTACTCCATAAATGCAGCAATTATGTATGTGTAGTTGACATACATAAATACACATCCCTACAGCAATAAACAGTAACAGCTATTCATTGTTACTAGGCCTCGTGTCTTCTGTCAGTTACACACTTTCATCTAAATAACTATGCAGGTACAAAGAAAAAAAAAAAAAAAAGAACCAACCCAAGACTATGGGGGAGATTTATAACACATATGGTGAAATCTGGCATTACATATAAAACTTAAGGTTGTTTTAGAGACAAAACCAGGCTAACGTTGGACATTTTTGGTTTGTTTAGAACAGGGAATGGTCCAGTTTCCATTAGGAAGATTAACTTCCATTCTACTGAGAGTGTTCCTATAACCCTAACTTTCCACTTCTAAATGAATTCCGCAATGGCAAATCCACTAGCGGCTGCAGAGAAATCAGGGAAGATACAAAAAAAATACCTGACAAAATGTCTAACTCTAAGGCTTTTGATTTTTGTTTCCTATGAACCTCTTTACTTTTCACAATTTGTTTTCTGTTAAGATGTGAACACTTCAACAGCAAGGTAGTAAACCACCAAAGGCAGCCTTAGGACAAAGCAAGAGCTTCACTTCAATGCCACCCTCCCTAAAAGCACATACCTAGTCTTAGCTCCCTCACTGCCAGGAGCAAAGAAAATACTGATATCTTCAATGTATGAGGGAGCATGTGACATCACTGGTTCTTGGTGATATAGGTCCTGCACTGTCACATGGTGCCAGGGAGTTCATCTCTGTGTAAGTTTCAGCAATGGAACAGAACAGTAAGGCAACTAAGGATAAGCAACTATATGCTACCGGCAAGGGAGGGTAGCAAACAAACCTGTTGCTTTGTCTAAGACCTACCTTGGTCCTTTACGACTACACTCAGTTACCATGGTAACAGAAGGAAACAAATATGGTGAAAGTAATACGTATATGTAAAAAGGACAAAATCAAAAACCCGGACGCCTTAGATGGTTGGCCCAATTGGGGGATTTCTCCTCACTTGTGGTGTCCCAGGAGTCCCTAGCCGCTAGTGGTTGTCCATGGGCTAAGCATAGGTTTGCATTAAACATACACTGATTTTTGGAAGATGCAGGTAGTGTCTAACTTTACTACCCTCCTCATTAAGTGCCTTTACTATACGTGCATTTTAACACCACTAACAATCTTTTCCTCTTAGATTCTAAATAGATTTCCAAAAATACAATCTGAAAGACAGATTAAACAGACATACTGGCCCACAACTACAATTTATAATCGTGCAGGTCTTATACCCAGATACACAGGCTTTATTCCTGGTAAGTATATTAAAATCAAGGGCCTACCAAGTAAATTCTGCTTCCATCAAAGCCAATGTCATGGTGTTGGGCTTAAATAAAGCCTATAAATCCTCACACCCCAACTTTAGAGGTGGACAGGTTTCTGCCCCCTACGTAACAGCTAAAATAGCATATGGAGTGAATATAGAGGTCCATAGTGGCAAAGCGCAACTGTGCTTTTGAATATTTGCCTCCAGTATAAATATCTATACAGATCTCAATAATCTGAGATCACATGTGTCAAACTCCAAGGCCCAGGGGCCAAATCCGGCCATTTCCTAGACTTCTATCTTCAGATCTAGGTATTAAGTTATTACTAAAACCAGTGATAATCGAATGTAGAGGCAATTATGATAACCATTAGATTTATAGTCTTAGATACCTTTGAGGGCAACCATGTTGATGCAGCCCACAATTAAATTGAGTTTGACACACTTGTTGGTCTCATCAGTTGCAGACTAGACTGCCTATAGGCACGAGTTCATGTAGCCTCATCTGCCAGTGCAAGTCTAGCATGTGTAACGGCTTTGAAGAACAGCTTTTCACAAATCATCAGATTGTACATGTGTATGTGATGGGTAAGATAATGCACATATTACATATCAAAATACTTAAAGTGGATTGCCTAAAACTTTATTAGCTTCATTTTCCTGCAAGAAATGCAGACTTACTGACCACAGAAACCAGTCCACTTTCATAGTCTAATCCATCATGGAAGAATAACATACATGGATATGATGGGTCAATGGCATCACAGCAGTCAGAACCTCACAAAAAAAGACCTTCCAAACTTTTTAATAGCAGAATGCAGCTGCCCCAGCACACATTTTGCCAGATGGCACAATAAGCTACCCTGCCAAGAGGGGATTTGAAATATCAGGGGAGAAGCATCACCTACCGTACAGACCCTCACCAGGTACTGAGGGAGAAAGGAGCCAGGACCTTGTCCGTTGTGGTAGCCATGGGACAGGTACTGGGGGCATTACTCACCACTTCCATAGTCTGAGGATAGAGAACTCCAAGATGACACATCAGCTCCAGACAGAGGAAACACGATAACTGAAGGGGTGATGAGGCAGGCTTTATCTAAAATTGGGATGATGTGTTTGTCTGGAGGAGGAGCTGAGGCTGTCCTGGAAGACAACTGGGGGAAATATCAGTTTTGGGTCTTTCATAAACGTGCGTCATTGCACCTAGCTTCCAGCCATACATTCAGGCAAAGCAGTATGGAAGAACCTATGGTTTAATGGTTGCTGCCATCAGACCCAGTTAGCACTCTGGCCAGTGAAGCTGCTAGACACATTTGAGGTAAACAAAAAAACCCCACACCAAGCTAACAGTAGAGTTGGTCAGTGAAGCTTTTTACACTGAAATCAAACTTGTACACGAACCAGTGGTCTTCCAAAATGAAAATCAAGACCATGTAAAGTCAGACCTAGAACAGAGCTAAATAGGAGTTTAGCTTAACATGGAGTGGGAGATGTAATGCACTGCTGCCTCCGACTGCTAATCTGAGGCTTTCGTAATAGCACTACTGTGCTGCTCAGTTCTTACGAGGAAACAAAACCCTGCCTCTACCAAGATGGCCACCTCCACACAGTGATCAATGTAATGAGAAAAGAGCAGCTCCAGATAAGATACTGTAGACCACAGGCAATACTTAGTAATTTGCCTTCTGCCTGTTTTTTTGGGGGCACAGCTTAGAGTTCACTTTCCTCCCAAATTGTGAAAATGTTATTTACTCACAGCAACCTGCCACCTCCCCCCTGCTGCACTTACATGACCACACTGACCAATGAGAATTGTTTGAGCTGGGGACCAGGTGCTGGAATGGAAGCACCTCTCATTGGCCAGTATAGTTATGACCATGCTGGCCAATGAGCACTCACCATTTGCAAGTATTCCATACTGGGAAGTCTGTTGTATGTACAGTCTGCTATACTGGTGGACAGGGACTACAGGCATGCAAGTGCAGTGGAGGCCAAGGGAGGTGAGGGGTGCTGAGGGCAAGTTAAATAAAAAAAAAAATAATTAAGTTGGAGAATGTGAGCTTACCCTTTATGCCAACAGCACCAGTTTACATGACCCTGTACATTCCCCAATATGGAGCTAGTCCCAGTAGCAATTAATCTTAAATTGAACATAGTTCATAGGCCTCTCCTGCTATGCGATTGTGTGTAGAGCACTTAGTGATGCAATGTGCAGAAGCAGCAAAGTTTCACATGTTCCTATACCTGGAAATGTCACGTACTGCTCTAGTAGGGAAGAGTTGACAGCAAATAAACGGCCCCAACAATGCTAGCTGGAACACAAACCAGTTACTTTACCTAGTATGAAGCAAAAGTTCATGTTTTTGGCGTGTTACATCAGTTTACTGGTCTCGCTTTCTTGTTCACCAGGTTTCAGAGACTGTTACGGAGCCACCTTTGGAAACACCAGCAGGGAGTTGTACAGCAAGTACCCATGATAAATGGACAATAAAAAACCTTTAAGAAAAACTGCATTTAATAGTCGCTTTTCTGTACAGCTTGCAATGACAAATATTAACATAGGTTTAGGTCAAGAACAGTAGTCAAGTTTACAGCACCTAGAACTAGTCAATTGTATGCAGCTTTTGTTACTTGTATTCTGACCACCAGGTCATTCTATTGCCCCATCTGCTCTGGTGTATGAGCATAGCAGTGAACTGAATAGAGACCTGCTTTAACAACTCCTGAATGGCTGTGCCTCGTAGGGGGATGTGTTACAGCTAAAGGAAATCCTGTGCAGGCAGTTGGCTTCGAGCACTTGTTGGCTGGCTTTAAAATGAGTCCCTGAAATTAACAAGCGTGTTCTATCATTACATACTTGTTCCAGTTCAGTGAAATCAATATTGAAGCCAGGAAACCAGCATTCAGAAAGGTGACAATTCTAGCCCCCATATTACTCAGGTTTTCTTTAGATGAAATAAAGTTGGCAGCCCTGGGCAGGATTCTACAATACATGAAAGCCAGGCAAACCTTGAGTTCCACCTTAAGGCCAAGATAGATATTCTCAATGGCTGAAGATCTAACGCTTGTAACAAGAACATGGAAAGTGAACAAACATGAAAAAGGAAACAAAACAGGTTTGAAAATGTACAACAGTTGGAACACGTTAGTTTATTCAGCTTCTTCCTCAGCCTCCTCTTCAAATTCTCCCTCCTCTTCTGCGGTGGCATCCTGGTACTGCTGGTACTCAGACACCAGGTCATTCATGTTGCTCTCTGCCTCAGTGAATTCCATCTCATCCATGCCTTCCCCAGTGTACCAGTGCAAGAAGGCCTTTCTGCGGAACATAGCAGTGAACTGCTCAGAGATGCGCTTGAACAGCTCCTGAATGGCTGTGCTGTTACCAATGAAGGTGGCAGACATCTTTAGGCCTCGGGGTGGGATGTCACAGACAGCAGTCTTCACGTTGTTGGGGATCCATTCAACAAAGTAGCTGCTGTTCTTGTTCTGGACGTTCAACATCTGCTCATCCACCTCTTTCATAGACATACGGCCTCTGAACACAGCAGCTACAGTCAGATAGCGGCCATGACGTGGATCACAGGCGGCCATCATGTTCTTGGCATCAAACATCTGCTGTGTCAGCTCAGGCACAGTTAAGGCACGGTACTGTTGGCTACCACGGCTGGTGAGTGGGGCAAAGCCAGGCATGAAGAAGTGCAGGCGTGGGAAGGGTACCATGTTGACAGCCAGTTTACGCAAGTCAGCGTTCAGCTGGCCAGGGAAACGTAAGCAGGTGGTGACTCCACTCATGGTGGCTGATACCAGATGGTTCAGGTCACCATAGGTGGGGGTTGTGAGTTTGAGGGTTCTGAAGCAGATGTCATACAGAGCTTCATTGTCTATGCAGTAGGTCTCATCTGTGTTCTCTACAAGTTGGTGCACTGACAAGGTGGCATTGTATGGCTCTACTACAGTGTCAGACACTTTGGGGGAGGGCACAACGCTGAAGGTGTTCATAATTCTGTCTGGATACTCTTCTCGGATCTTGCTGATAAGCAGGGTACCCATACCAGAGCCAGTACCACCACCCAGGGAGTGTGTGAGCTGGAAGCCCTGGAGACAGTCACAGCTTTCTGCTTCCTTCCTTACAACATCCATTACTGAGTCAACCAGTTCTGCTCCCTCTGTGTAGTGACCCTTTGCCCAGTTGTTTCCAGCACCGCTCTGACCTGAAAGGGAAATAAATTATTAGGAGGTATACAAAACATACTAAAAGGGACATAAGTGATAATGAAGTGCCAAAACCTATCAGAACTCATCTTGTCCTGGGTTTGATGCCAAGACCAACCTTGATTGGATGACAACACCCAGTAAGGTTAAAAGTCTTACTCCATTATACCTAGGTAGGTATTTTTCTCTATAGGGCTGCAGCAATTTATAATCAAAAAGTCAGCTGATTAATTTGCATTAATCTGATAAAAAGTCATTTAAAATAATACACAAATGCAGCATTACAGACAGTTTACTTCATAATAAAATATGCACTTTTTTTAAATCGCACTGCAACACGGGGGCATTGCACTCCATTCCAGTGCGGGCAAATCACAATGCGGCCGGGAGATGCATTTGAGATCCATTGAAATGAATGGCACCGCAACACCTCCTGCAGCAAAATTTGTCGGGCCAAAACCGAAAATGACTTTCCCCACTAAGGATATAAACAGGGAGGAATGCTGTCACAGCAGTCTCTCCTCCCTGCTGGTGCTGGCTACAGTGGTCTGTGTCCCCGCTGCCTCTGCCGATAGAGGCGGGGAGAGCAGAGCAGTGGGGATTGATAGGGACGCAGAGCGCTGCAGCCACCACCAGCAGGGAGGAGAAACTGAGGAGCAGTACTGCAGCAAATAATCGGTGAGAATCATGGCCAACGATTCTCATCGATTAGTTGTTGCAGCCCTAATTTGCTAGAGTTGTTCCAAATGTGTAGATAAACGCATACTATTCTGCAATAGAAGTTTTATTTTTAAACCTTTAGAACACACTGAGGTGTGCCACAGCTTAGTTCACATTTCTGACATGCCTTGGTGCCAGGACTAAGTATCTTACATGCATATGTGTCAGGCCATCTTGGGCCAGCCAATCAAGATAGCTGTAGATGCTGAAGCTGGAAAAAGACTGGAATGTGAGGGAGCTTGAGGGTATTACATTGCTAGTGGTGAACATTGAAGACTTAATCCAACTTTAACAAAAAAAAAAAAAGGCACCAAGCATAGAAGCCCATAGGTTGCCTACAACCAAAGCTTTCCCAACTGACAGCACATTTATACCCCGGACAGACATTTCCTCATTTCCCTACATTTGTTTAACCAGGGAACAAGGTTACAACTCCTGTCACTGACATGTTATACAATGGCAACAGGTTAGCCTATAGGAGCAGAGGTTGTCAAATGAGGTTGGGCCTTACACCGCCACATCATGCCTATCCTTAATCTACTAGATGCAGCACCAGATATGTACCGTACAAATACTTGATACACATTTCCAGTGTAAATCATGTTGCCTATTCCCATTCAACTAACTTACCAAAAACAAAGTTGTCTGGTCTGAAGATCTGCCCGAAGGGTCCGGATCGCACAGAGTCCATTGTGCCTGGCTCAAGATCCACCAGAACTGCACGGGGAACATATTTGCCACCTGCAAACAGACATCAGATTGTAAGCACTGTGTAACGTACTGGCTGTAAGAGAAGCACCAAAGACTTACAACATCTTACCTGATGCTTCGTTGTAGTAGACATTTATTCTTTCCAGCTGCAGATCGCTGTCACCATGGTATGTGCCAGTTGGGTCAATTCCATGTTCATCACTGATGACTTCCCAAAACTAGGACAAAAATTAAGATGCATTAGATTTCTGTTACTACATACAGCACTACTGTCCCACCAGACCAGCTGTGCTCTGACATGTTCTGTCTAGCATTTCAAATCAGCTGCTATGACAACCTAAAGATAGGCCTGGCAGGTATGTAACCATCTTCTTTCCTCCACCCCCTGCCACTATATTGTTTGACAGATAGATTAAAGTGCATGGTCCAGCCCTCAGCTTCTAAACGATGGCTACCAGCAGACGGTCAGGGGAGACCACGCCACAATGGCTGTCAGGTGCCAGTGATGTGAAGTAGCGATAATGCAAAGTGCATTTTTTATATCCCAGTAAAGGTGGCCATACAAAGTCTTGCGAATATTTCACTATATTGCACACCACACTTTTTTTTACTTCCATCGCTCCAAGCTTGCTCCTGTGATGGACTGCAATCTCAATACAAACTAGTAGTTCATCACTGGAGCCATTTTTAAAAATGTATTTTATTGTTTATCCGATTAATCGAACTTAATAATCGGCTAACTAATCGATTTTGAAAATAATCGTTAGCTGCAGCTCTACTTGCGATCATCGCAAGCCTGCCCCGCTGAGGGGCGGGCTTCCAGTGACTGCAATGCTGAATGGGCAGTGTGCGCACACCGGCCCGTTCAGCAGTTGTCGAACAAGCACACCACTAACCCGCCGAGAATCGCCTGCTTGTTCGACGGAAGACGTGCAATCGTACAGTAGAAACGGTTGCACGCCTTCCATACACTTTGCGATTATCGTACAGTGTATGGGCACCTTAAGATGGAAAAGAGGAGCTGCAAGTTCAGCTTTGTTTTTGGTCTCATCAATACCAAAGGACCATACATTTTATACAGTGCTTGTTTTCAGTCAAACTATCACAGTAACTGGTTTCTATGGGCAATACACATCCTATTTGCACCGATCAATTCAACAGGATTAGATGCACTGCACTCCAGCTTAATTTGAGTTTGTGCCATCAACAAAAACCCATCATATAGTAATGAAGACTAAAAAGATGTTACAACACGCAATCTTTCAAATTCTGAAATTGATGCGGTCTTTGTAAAAGCGTAACATTGATACAGCTGTGCTTTAAGAGTCACCTGACAAGCAACCTATATAGGGAAACCCAAATTAATGCAGTGCACAGACCTACCCAGAATGTTATTTAACTTCTACCGAGTCAGAGGGGTGCCCCCTAGTGCTACCCAGCTGACACACCAAGCGGGCAGCCACCCAGTGCTACCCAGCTGGCACATTCACTTTACACATAGCCAACTTTTCCTATTATGATAGGTTTAACCACCTCACGGCCAGCTGGTGTATAAAAACATGCGGCAGCTTCCTAGATCTCACTGGCCGTCTAAAGATGGCCTCTGGGCCCCACCCACTCCACAAGCAGGAAACTGCCCAAATGTAAAAACAGGCAGCGATGCCCGTTTACATACAAGCGATCTGCTGGCTATAGAACTGGCAGATCGCTTGTATAACGTGCCAGTCTGTGCACCCCCCCCAGCTCCACTGTTCCTGGGGCAAGCCCAGGACCAGCATGGTGGCTCTGTAACAGGGGATCATAGGGAGATGGTGCACAATCTCCCCCCCCTCCTCTCTCTGGTGTTAGAATGAGGACATGTATATTACATCCTTTCCACATTCTTGTGTCACTCCAGCTTCTATGGGGGTCCTGAGGTGACTTGAGACCCCCGAAGTCTCCATAAATAGGACCTGTCACATCTTTGCCATCACTATGTGATAGAATGTTGAGTGAAACAGAAAATTAAACTTGCAAAAAAAACAAGGACTTTAATTTCTTTTTTTAAAGTCCCCACCCATACATAGATGCTGCAAACATGCATCGGGTGCGCATATGTGAAAATGACGATTGCGCCCATTACATATCCCTGCGAACGTCGCAGTGAGAGCAAAAATTCTAGGCCCATTAATTACCAATAACACTAAACTGATGAGCGGTAAAAGCTTTTAAAGCGTTGCCTTTTGTCAATTTTGGGTATGTAGTTTTTTTTTGCGATTTCACGGGCACACCATTTTAAGGCTTGACATGTTTGGTGTCTATTTACCCGAAGTGACCATCTTTTTTTTGG